TACCAATATTGAGCAAAAGTTACGAATAAATTAGTTAGATACAGTGCAACCTCGCTTAACGATCAAAATAAATGAGAAGAAGAGAAGTCCCAGTTTTCGCGCCTTTTACATTATTTTTAAAACTTGTGTACAAATATTATGTGTATTTTTGAATATGTTTTACTATACCAGTAAAAATCCGGAAATTTTGATACGGATTATACTCATTTAGTGAGGTTCTACTGTACTTAATTTTCATTACTTGAAGTCAAAGAACTTAGTGTTTGTAACGTAAATAAGTAACAGGAAGTAAATGTAAGTTTCGAAGCAATTTGAAATGATTCAATTTAAATACTAAAATATTCAAAGTTATGCTGAGCAGAAATATTAAGGTCGTTTAATAATCATATAAAAAAAAACTTAATGCTATACAAAAAAAATAGTCTTGAACTTTGGTCATGTTTAAAGTTTATAAATGTAATTAAATTATTGATTGATTGATTTAATTAATAGAAGTGTTAGAAAATGTTTTTCGTGAATTATTTATTAATTAATTATTTGAATATATGCATAAGTTTCTCTGAAATTAAAAGATTTTATTTTGTAGAAGTTTTCAATAAAATTAATTTAAGAAAAATTGTTGAACTTAGGTCAAGTTTAATATGGAATATGTATTTATTTGTTTGTTAAAAACTATTATTTTTGTAGACATTATTAATAAAAATTGATGAAAAAAGATTGTAAGAAAATCTATAGATGTTGACGGAACTTGTTGAATGATGGAGAGATCTGGTTGAAATGCATTTTTGATCAAAAGAATCTGAAGATACAACATACCGAACAAGTCTGTATAATTACATTCATATGGATGGAGGAAGGTTGCAAACCGTGAGAAAGTGATAGGTGAAAGTGAAGTGTTAATGACATTGAAAGTAAATTAATCTAAGGTTTTGTTATTTCTATGAGAAGTGCATATTTTATGTGCAATGATCAATTTTGATAAAGCCACAATTAATACAATTTTATAGCAAAAAAAAGGGAAAATGTTTTGAATACTGAAACCAAAATTTGCTTGAAATAAGTGTAACAAAAAGGAAATGTTTAAATTTTCATAAATTGAAAAAAAGTAAATTAATAGAAATTTTTACATTTATTAAATCAATCATTTCGTTATACTAAAATCTTGTGTGTAAATTAAGTGTACAGTAATACCTCGCATAGTGCTGTTCCGATTAGGCCGGATTCACTTAAAAAAAAGTTAAAAATAAACTAAAATTTTGAAACAAATTAATTCTAAACAAAACATATATCATTTTTTCTATACATAATATTTCTTTATATAATCTTCAATTAATCAGGTTTAAAATAGTGTTTACCCGCACTTTGCGAAGTATTTCTCTATTTTCAAGGTCATTTCAACGAAAACAGAGAAAAACCTGGCGCATGCACTTTTTTTTTTGTATTAATTAAGTGAAAGTATTTATTAATAATATGCAATATCGAAATTAATCACACAGTAAATTCGAAATATTAAACCTTGACATTTTTATGGAGCCCAAAAAATGCATTCTTAATGATTAATATTATATAATTGATAGATTTTTTTTTATTATTTGCGCAATCAACTCAATTTTAGTAACGTTTCTCGCGATTCTCTCGAAACGACAATTTAATTGTTATAATCGAACGATTTGCGCAAAGCTAATTGCACAAAATGCATATGTGAGACAATTAACAGCTTCCTGCATATCGCAATTAAAACTATTATCTTAATTGCTTCAATCAACAAATCATAATTTTTTATTAACTTCTAACATTTTACTTGTGTCTTTTTTTGTGAAATTGCAATGAATAAGTAAAAATTATGTAATCATTTTTATTTATTTATTTAGCGACGAGCAAAGTGCATTGAAAATTGTTGAAGATTCTTGAAATTCTATTTTTTTTTATTGCAGAAAGTGGATTTCACAATAAAATTAAATCGCGTGTATTAATTAAACCGTGCAAATGCAAATCGCTTTTCGCCTGTTAAATACAATTACGACTACAATCATGCAGTTGTAATGGTCTTTGTTTCGTCTATTCATAAATTATTGTTAGTGTTTGCTACACGAAACGCAATGATTGGATTGAGAAATTAATTGTTGTGCGCATTTGTTTATTGCCGTAGAAACAACACGAAGTGACTTGTGAAAAGTTTAGCAATGTTTGTTGTTGTTGATCTTTTAGGTTTGACGCTTCGGAAATTACTAAAGAATAATGGAATAAACTAAATGTTTGTCAATTTTTTTGTTATAAAGGGTGTCCCAAAATTAACGCAAGATTTGAATTTGCCGCCATCTGTTTAATTCAAAACTTGCGTTAATTTTGGGACACCCTTTATTATAGTCGAAATGCTACGATTAGAAAAAAAAATTATAAAAATAAAATTTAAGCAGTTTCTTGAAAATTACAGAAAACAACAGAATAAAGTAGAAACAAAAGCTTATGTCAATTCTTTTGTTTTGTTTTTTTTATTACTCGAAGAAAACATTAATGATTTATGTACAATTCTAATGAATGAAGCGTAAATTGTAAAAAAAGTTAAGCATCTTTTGTTGTGGATACAATTTGGATGGGAGACTTAGCATATTAAAAAAAAAACAGAATTCAATAAATAAGAATTTCTGTTGATAAATTATTCTAAAAAAATATCATTAATTGCAGCTGAAAAATGTAAAATTACAGCAATACTTTGGCTTCGATTAGTGCGGTTTGAGAAATTTAAAAAAAATACAAAATTTTACTTCACCAAAATACTTTTTTTTCTCTCTCTGCACACTCAAGTCTTTTTCTGTAATGTGTACATTAAAAAGCAGTAGATATATATAAGAGGGGTTTTAAAATTCTCGATTAGTCCGGTTTCAAATAGTACGGGAACGTAATGATGTTGTTGTAAAAAAGTTAAACATTGTTTATTGTGGATACATTTTGAATGGGAAACTTAACAAGATTCGTGAAAATATATTATTTCAACTAGGTCGTTAGCCCTTTGGCCAGCCTATTAATATATATTTTTTTATTGTATGTTAAAATTTATTTATGTATAAATTGTACTTTTTTTTTCTTCTTCTTATGTATCGATGTTTGGCCAATAAATTATTATTATTATTATTATTATTTCAAGAAAATTCTCAATAAAAAAATCATCAATTTGAACACTGAGTAAATTTGACTGTCCATCTATGATGAACAAAGGCTTTATTGCTACAAGCACCGAGAGGGCTCACAAAGGGCCTGAAATGACCAGGATTTGAACCTGTGTCCACTAGCTCCTGGGTAGGGCGACGTAACTATTCGGCTATAAATTTATTGAATAATTTAAAGGAGAAAAAAAAACTGTTTAATTCACAATTTTTGCTTCATTCAATCAATTCATTAATTTAACTAGTTTATTAACATATAAATTGTTGTTTTCACAGCTTCAACAAAAAATATGTAAATTTCCTCGAACTAACAAGTATAGTTTTAGTTCATTATTCAGGTAGTCAGCAAAATAACAATTATGAACAAATATAAAACTTTCCTTTAATTTGCGTTAAAGGAAGATTTCTTTTAGTTTATTATTGAATTGATTAATAAACACGAGAGACTTTGCACAAATCTTAGTAAAGAAATCAACATAATAATTTAAAATTTATGACAAAATGAATCAAATAAAAATAGTAATATGTTTCTTTTAAATATTATAATTTTAATTTAAGAGTTTTCTAAAATGAACTTTGCGTTCATTTTTAATTATAAATGAAAAGCAAAGCAAAAATTTCAAGGTTTCTGAATAAAAACACGGAAATAAAATAACGGAACACGTTTTTAAATTATTCGAAATAGTAATGCTGTCTATTGAGTGTTATATAATCATTCGTCTCCTTATCCACGATTCCGAGGACACCGGTTCGAATCCTAAAAGACGGTAACCAACCAGCAAATCACACATGAATATAATGGTAAAAACTTCAATTGGGAAGAAGTTTACCAAAAAGTTTACCACCATTAGATTCGAAGAAATAAAATTGTAAATGAAATATACTATGACATAATACCCATTTTTTTTTTGTTTTATTATAATATTAATCCAATTTAAGAAAGACAATATCCTGAAACATAAATCTTTTTAAATTAATGAATTAGAATTAATCAATTACGAAATAGGCAACATCTAAATGTATACAGAAACTTGATCACAATCTACTTGATTATATAATTAATTAGTTTTTTTCTTATTTGCGAATTGATTATTTGTAGTAATAAAAATTCTTTGAAATAATCATTTTGAATCTGTGAATGAAACTCAATAAATTACGAAATAGTCAACAAAATACACAGATTTTTGTTTACAAATTACTTAATTATATAATTCATTAGGTTGAAAGAAAAAGCTACGCATTAATGTAGTATTATTACGTATATAAATCTATACGTAATAATACTATTTTACGTCGTAAAACGTGTAAACTGTGATGAACTTTAAATGCCTTGAATTGTTTGATAATCATCGCTCCAAGTTTATTAAATTAAAGAAAATGAGAAATTGAATAAGTTTTGAATAAGATCCAAAAAAAAAGTTGACATCAATTCGTTAATTTATGGATACATTTCTGCTTATTTCGGACATATCAAATGCTTATAAATAAATAAATTGTGATACAAATTCGTTGTTTGATTAGAGGTCATTACAGATTTAACATTTAGTGTGACTAATTAAAACACAAATACAGATTAATGAGAGCAGTTTGTTGCTTGTGCAATTAATTAAAAATTGCTGTCTTTAAATTTGTCGGTCGCTATTTTTTTGTTGTTGTTTGTAGATTAGTTTAAAGAAAAAAAGCAAAACACAAATTTGATATCAAGCAGTTCCTTTTTTGTTTTGAATTTTTGGAAGGCGGTGCGTTTCGAAGATTGAGCATTTCCAATTACTTACCAAAAGATTCAGTTCTGCGTGAGCGTCTGATGAGCGGTGGAGTGTACATAGAACCGGAGGTGTTTCTTGAATGCAGTGTAGTGTACATCTTCAGAAATAAGGTTTTCGGTCCAACCCGAAAACTCTTATTCGATTCCTTACTCAGTGCCAATAAACAGTTCAGAAACCAAAGGAAACAATACAGTGCATAAGCAATAAAAATACACATGTAAGTCTTAGTAGTTACAAAGTCTCAATTTTGTAAAGACAAATGTTAATTACAAGAAAATCTGATTGTTTAAGTAACAGAAAAGTAACAATTATGTGGTAGTATACAATACACATGTAAGGTTTATTTACAAATTCTCAGTTTAATAATTTATAAAGAAAAATGTTAATTTTGAAATTAAAATTAACAAAATTTTAACAGAAATTAAATAAATAATTACAAGAAAGTTTGATTTTTTAACTAAAAATTACATGGAAGTTCATAAAACACATGTAAGTTTTAATTACAAAGTCTCTGTTTAATAATTTATAAAGAAAAACGTTAATTTGGAAAGTAAAATTAACAAAATTTTAACAGAAATTCATTAAATAATTAGAATAAAATCTGATTCTTTAAGTAAAAAAAAAGTAACAATTACATGGAAGTACACAAAACACTTGTAAGTTTTAGTTACAAAGAATCAGTTTAATAATTTATAAAGAAAAACGTTAATTTCGAAAGTAAAATTAACAAAATTTTAACAGAAATTAATTAAATAATTACAAGAAAGTCTAATTATTTAAGTAAAAGAAAAGTAACAATTACATGGATGTACACAAAACACGTTTAAGTTTTAGTTAGAAAATCTCAGTTTAATAATTATTAAAGAAAAACTTTAATTTTGAGCATAAACAAATAATACATAAATCATGAAATAATTTCATAAATTTAAACTGAAATAAAATCAATAATTATAAGAAAATATAACGAAAATAATTACATTAATGTATAAGTATATCTCAAATTAATTAGAAGTAAAACTTTAATTTCTAGAATAAATAGTAATATATAAATTATGAAATAATTTTATAAATTTTAGCAAAAATGATTAAAAGTTATTCTGAAGTAAGAGTTGTAACATTTTAACTAAAAAAAAAAGAAACATTACAAATAATATCACAACGTTAAAACCAAAATTTAAAATTATTGAAATTTTAACTTATAATTAAGCTTTAACATATTTATAAAATTGTTAATTTTTTAGCATAAAGTCATAGAATAATTTGATTAATTTGCAAATTTAAAGAAAAAAATTGTCTTATTTTAACTAATGATTTTTTAACTAATTTATTAAAAAATATTAATTAAAAACGTTAAAATTATATGATAATCATTAGTTGTTGTTAATTTTCATTATAAATAAATAATAAATACATTAATGTAAATTTGAATAAAAAATAACATCACAATTATAAAGTTTTTAATTAAAAACGTTAACTTTGAGCAGAAAAAGAACACGAAAAAATTTAAGCAAATTATAAAATAACGGTTACCTGAGTTAAAACATGTAAAATTTTAACTGATAAATAAGCATAAAAACGTTAACTTTTAGTCTCGGAATAACAAATAAATCATGAAGTAATTTAGTCAACAAAGAAAAGAAATACATCAGTACACAAGTAAGTCACAATAATAAACAAATTTATTAATTAAAAACGTAAAAGAAACAAATAAATAATGAAATAATTTGATTATTTCATGAGCATAAATGAATGAAGTAATTATAAGTTAATATGAAGCAAAACTAGTGACATTTTACCTAAGCACAAACAACAATACCATCTATAGTAATTGCCTTCTTCGTGAATTGTTTACGCTCTTAAAATGTTTTCATTTTCTGCTGCTAAACTTATTATGCCGGTCTCATAAACACACACTCATCAGTATTCCAAAGACAACCATCACTTAACTACCGCTAATGATATATGGTATAAAGATCGTGAATTTTAATTAACCAATCTCGTGATTGTTTTAACTGCGTGTATACATTAATGAGACTAAACTTACATTTTTTTCTTCTAATGGAAAATGAAAACGAAACCGATTATTTTTTCTGTTAACGTCTCGTGTGCTTCAAATCTCGATCTCGTTATTGTATTACGCAATCGTTTTGCGAAATGTCAAGATCGCAGTCTTAAGATGGTATTGTTGTCTGCGTATTAAGATGATTTGCGATGGAATTTTGTGGAGACGGGAGAAAGTGTTGGTATTTTTTTGTGACGCGAGATGAATTCGGGTCAAAGTTCAGAGTAGGTTAAATAGTGCCGTGATCGAAGAAGGTCTAGGTTCGGTGTTATGGCTACGAGAAATTTGCGGAGATTTACGAGTATGCTTTGATTTATTTGTATACAAATGAGCCGTCGTTTGCATAATTTAATTATAAGTGTACACTGGTTAATTACAACTGTTTTAAAAAAAATAAATTAAACACATACTTCAACAAAAGATATAAAAATAATTACAGTATTAAATTTTACTGCTCATTTTTTTTTTCAAGTTTCAACTTTCTTAGTAAATTACAATTAATGCAACAATTTTGTATAATTAATCCATATAAAGTAATAAAGGGTGTCCCAAACCGAACTTGTATTTTAAATTTGCCGCCATTTTTTTCGCGGTAAATTTAGATATTTAAGAAATTTATTAATAAACTATATAATCTTGTAGAAAACTGAATAATATTAAATTTAATAAATACAAATAATTTTTCATTATGTACTAAAACTAAAATTAATATAATTTTTCAATAATTGCTTTATTTTGATTTGCGCCATCTCGGTTTAATTGCGACACTTTAACAAATTGACACAACGTAATAAATTATAATGAAACAAATCGTATATATCATTGCGCATTTGTTAATTAAAAAAATCGTAACTAATGGAAACTGTCATTTTGTTGATAATTTTGATTTGTCAAAATGCAAAATTAAATATAAAATAAAAGTTTTGAAGTGAAATCTACCAAAAAGTAAACAATTTTGAGGCACGTAATGGGATCTAATTAAAGAAATATTTAAAATCCAATTTTCGGTAAGATTTTTATTTGATTATTCTGATCATTTTTTTTTAAAGCGAATTTACGAAAAACTATAAATTTTGTGATATTTTTCTAATGAGATTTTCAATTTTAGATTCTTAAGTTATTTCAAATTAATTTAATTATTTATACTTTCTTATTTTATGCTATTATTTAAGTCTATAACTTTCTTCTCATATCATTAAAAATGTTCTAAACTATACGTATAAATGATTACTTTTTTATATTGATAAAACTTTATAGAATTAAAACGTAATATGTAATTAGTAAGCATCAAATACTAATTACATATAATTAATTTGAACAAATTACACGATCTTTTATTGGTATAAATAAAACTTAAACTAAGTATTGATGAACGGTTGATATTGTTATTACATAAAGATGCATACTTTTTTTTTTCTAGAACGAAAATGTTATTGTTTGATATTGGACATTTAGAATAATTGCCTCATTCTGTAATAACTTATTGACGACGTTTGCGACAGTTTCGAGAAAAAAAAAGTACCATCACTTCACCTACTGCAATTAACGACGTGTTTTCTACCAATTGTCTTATTGACGCAATCAATCCTAAAAAAAATAGCATAACGAGATTTTCAGAAATTCGTGCCAATAATTAACAGTTTTAATTACTCAATATGTTTACATATTTCAAAACAAACTAAATTTTAATTCAGTAAAATTAATTCTAAAATAATTGCACACAAAAAATTATTATTTATTATTACAGTAGAATCAATTTTTATGCGATTTTTTTTTATGCGGTTGATGAAATTCAACCAATTCTGTTGTTGTTACCATTGTAATGTTTTATATCAGTGTGAATATGTACGCCAGCTCAAACGATTTTGTTAGTCAATTTTGAACCAATTCATCACAAGAAAATGCACAATTTGGAGTAACTGGAGTAGAAGTGAATTATGTATGTGATTTTTTTTAAATTTCTTTTATATGTACAATGAGAAATTAAATGTTTTGAAAATGGTTTTATGTCAATCTAATTGTGATTTTTTAATTTGGTCCACTACACAAAAAAAAGTTTTTCTAATGTATTGTACAAAAGTATTTGTTATATAGTAAGAATTTATGAAAATTTCGAATATTTTTTTTGTGCGATTTTTTTTATGCGGTTTCTATTACGAAAACAGTTTTTACTGTATATAATTATTATTTTCTTGTGCTCTTTATTTTTAGTTCCTCGATTAGTCCGGGTTATTGGGTAAACTGAAAACGCGAACTATGCGAGGTTTTTCTAATATTGATAATACAAACAAACAACTAAATGAATATTGGCAGAAAATAAAAAAAAATGTAAATAAATAATCGAAATGAGAATTTCAACAAAAATTCGTTTCATTTGCATTCGATTGTTTTTCGCATTAGGATTCAATAATTTGCATCAGAATCCAATAAATTCTCTACAAGGTAATAGTTTGTTAAATGTCAATTTAAATCTTTTGTACGTGCATTAAAGATAGTTTTTTTTACTACAACAATATTTATTTACAAATTGTCACTCAAATGAGATTTACTAATGTATTTAAAATAATTACAATTTTAAGAATGATTTTTTTTTACATAAGTTTTTATTAAATTTCAATGAAATTACGTGAATAATCTTTTTTCAATACGACTGTTGTCTTCTATAGTAATTTTTCAGTAACTTTTGTAAAAATTAGAAACTATAAAATATCTTTATTTTCTAATTTAGTTTATAACTTTATAATTCATATGGTCACAAAATCATTTTTTTTAATCCAATTTCAATTGTTTTTTTTTTAAATAAGTACAGTGGAATCTCGCTTAACGAGCAAAATGAATTGTACGAAAAATGACTCGCTTAACGAGCGACGTTTCGCATAACGAGTGACGATGAGAAGAGAAGTCCCGGATTTCGCGCCTGCTACATCATTTTTAAAACTTGTGTCGTGTCCCAGTGATGGATTTCTGGACACTGTGGGATATCTTATATAATTTTAACAAATTTCTTGAACAATTCCTAAATAAATAAAGTTGATTCATAATAATCAATTATAAAGTAAAATTGTTAACAATTTTCCTAAATAATTCTTCATTAAATATACCTAATTCAATATTGAGGAAATAAAATAAAATAAATTTTATCAAACTCAAAACAT